GTAACTGTGTACTAACAAATATACACCAAGTAACTGTGTACTGCCCTGAATACTCGTCTGACCGAAATAATAGCGCATATGGAGAGAACAAAAGACCCCAACAACAATAGCTTCGCATCCTATTACAGCCTCTGTATATATATTAAGAAGCACACACAGTAAGCCTACAGTTCACTCAGTAGAGCCCACAGTTCACTCAGTAGAGCCTACAGTTCGCCGGCAGGTGTTCAAGCTCGCTTGCAAATTACAAACGCCCAGCCTAAATCACATATTAGTAGACGAGTTCAATGGCTCGCATGCAAATAACTAACGCCCAGCCTAAATCACATATTAGTAGACGAGTTCAATGGCTCGCATGCAAATAACTAACGCCCAGCCTAAATCACATATTAGTAAACGAATTCAATGGCTCGCATGCAAATAACTAACGCCCAGCCTAAATCACATATTAGTAGACGAGTTCAACGGCTCGCAAGCAAATAACCAACGCCCAGCCTAAATCACATATTAGTAGACGACTTCAATGGCTCGGGTTTGAACACGCGCATCGCGCATTGCTACAACGGCATGGATGTCAATAAATACTTTATGAATCAACGTTGTCATGGAAACAGACGAAGTAGCGTATATATAAATACCTTGTGAATCAACATTGTCATGGCGACAAACGAAGTAGCGTATATATAAATACCTTGTGAATCAACGTTGTCATGGCGACAAACAAAGTAGCGTATATTTATTGCATAGCCCCACCTGTGCAGCGCTTTATGTGTAATCAGTTGAGTACACCGTGTTTGCCAACGTGAATGCGTTTGTGTCTTTCCAAACTACCATTTGTGGTGTACTCCTTGCCACACCCAGGACAATCACACGCATAGGGACGTTCGCCCGTGTGCGCGTTTGTGTCTATCCAAATAACCACTTTGTGTGAACTCCTTGCCACACCCAGGATAGTCACACGCATAGGGACGTTCGCCCGTGTGCACGCGTTTGTGGCTATCCAAATAATATTTCCGAGGAAACTCCATACCACATCCAGGATAGTCACACGCATAGGGACGTTCGCCTGTGTGCAGGCGTTTGTGTTCTTTCAAACTACCACTTTGTGTGAACTCCTTGCCGCACCCAGGATAGCCACACGCATAGGGACGTTCGCCCGTGTGCACACGCATATGACTCTTCAGGTTAGCAGCACTGGCACATATCTGACCACAGTTGGGCCACTCACAAGCGTGTGGCTTCACTGTGGCGGATGTCGAACCAATAGTACGGACCGATAATTTTTTTGCGGAACGGAGCCTGTGCAGTACACATGTACATATTGATGGGATATGTTTGTGACATAAAAGGGTGTGATCATGGTATGCGATGCTATCGGAATGAACATCTCGTAACGTTGTTTGTCAGAGTGTTCAACAGACAGACGAGCTCACTTTATTTAAACTAAGCCATATGAATAAATAATATCAGAGCGTGTGCAGCTACGGGGATGTATGTTAAATATAGATACATATAAAATGTCTTTCGTCTTTTGAGTAATGTATAAATATATCTATTCATACAAAATATATATATACATATATATACATATATTTATATATATCAATATATATATAAATAGACATATATAGACATACAT